ATGTATACCGTTGGCTGAGGGCTTCCAATGAAAATGAGCACCTCCCGTGCTCATGAGCACCTCCCGTGCTCATTTTTCACACTGAATCAATTCTAGAGGGTAAGTGAGGGGGGCATGGAATAATTACTCACTCGGTCATTTCTGGAACACCACAAAGCTGGCTTCGAGTAGGGATTAGCGGCGTAAGGCACTACCACTAGAGTACAATGTATGCCTAACCAATATTATTGTCCTCTATAAAAATTATGGGCAAGACGGTTGCGCCAAAATAACAGCCCGGAGTCCACTTTATTGCTGTGCTGCCTTCTCCCGGTGAACCAGCGTATGGCAACCTCGACGGCCAGAGGAAGGGAGATTCACATTTGTGCGATCCACCAGCCATCGCTGCCTCCACACTGCTGGATTGCAGTGTCACGTGCGTAGTATCCACCACCGCCCTAATCATGTAAACCTCCCCATACCGTACGAAGGACACCCCCCCCACCACCACGGGAGTTATTTAACCATACTTCACCACAACAGGCAGTGGTTGGTGAATGCGGGGAGCGTAGATTTTTGGAACGCGGCGACGATGGATGTGTCCACACATCTTCCCTTCGTCGGCGCACCAAAGACGCAGCAGGAGCCTCTCACACCTGGCGTGCTTGTCGGGCTGTGCGCTGCCAATGTCGCCCGCAGGGCTTCCCACTCGCCGCACAGCAGCAGCAACAGCAACAGCAAAGCGGCGCACAGGAAGCGCTTTACACGCAGGAAGCAGTTGCGTCCAGGTGTTCCGAGGCCTTTAGGCTGCGCAGAGCCACGCTCAGCGGAAACCACCACACCGCCCCCCCCCCACCACACACCACACCACAGACGGCACAGCAGCCGCATCCTGGCAGGGGACAGACAGCCCTGGTGGTGAGACGCCCAGAGATTTATCGCGGCGTCCGTCTCGTTTAAGAAGAGCCGAAATATATTTATTTTTATTTATTTTTTATTTCGGCTCGCCACGGCCATGTCCCGCCTTTATTTTGTCCTCCCATTACTATTTAGACAACGGTTTTCGTAGGACACGCCGGATTTTAGTCACCGACTCACAGCAGCACTGAGGTGATTCTCGTGGCCCCTTAACTGCCCCAAGCCAGTGGCGAGTCTATCCAGAGGGAACCCATAGGACGATAACTGGTGGCTTTCGACAAAGCGAGTGCCTATTGTATCGACACCAAAGGGACGGTGGGCTGAGTCAACTCCCCCAACCAGGATTTGAACTGACAACATTCCGACTGCGAGCTGCTCACTTCTTACCGCCGAGCCACAAGGAGTACGGGGTTCCAATAACGTAGGAGTATTATGAATGTGTGCACCGTGTCCTCTAGTGGTAGTGCCGTATGCCAACAGTTACTATTCCAATGAAAATGAGCACCTCCCGTGCTCATTTTCCACACAGCCCGACAAGTACGGCAGGTGTGAGAGGCTCCTGCTGCGTCTTTGGTGCGCCGACGAAGGGAAGATGTGTGGACACATCCATCGTCGCCGCGTTCCAAAAATCTACGCTCCCCGCATTCACCAACCACTGCCCGGTGTGGTGAAGTATGGTCAAATAACTCCCGTGGTGGTGGGGGGGGGAGTGGGTGTCCTTCGTACGGTATGGGGAGGTTTACATGATTAGGGCGGTGGTGGATACTACGCACGTGACACTGCAATCCAGCAGTGTGGAGGCAGCGATGGCTGGTGGATCGCACAAATGTGAATCTCCCTTCCTCTGGCCGTCGAGGTTGCCATACGCTGGTTCACCGGGAGAAGGCAGCACAGCAATAAAGTGGACTCCGGGCTGTTATTTTGGCGCAACCATCTTGCCCGTAATTTTTATAGAGGACAATAATATTGGTTAGGCATACATTGTACTCTAGTGTTACTACTCCCAGCAAGCCGAGCGGCGTTCCCGAAAAGATCGAGTGAGAACGTGTCCGCTTACCTTACGTGAGTTGTGCGGACAGGGAGCACGCAATTCACCCATTCAGTCCTTCCGTTGGTCACGCGCTTCACAACAGATTACCACGCACGGCAATGCAACGCCGACGGCATGCAGGGAAAAAGGGTATAGCTCTGTCGCTCCCACTCGCCGTCCTCCCGGCGATGGGCACGGCCAGCACGTCGCACCGGGCCACCGGACGCCTGACATCCGCCAGGGTTTGTCCGGTCCCACTCGTTAAGACTCTGTTTTGTTGTTGAGCTGCGCAGATGAGAAAGCGGGAAACTCTGCGCCTAGTTTCCCAAATGTGGCATCTGACAATAATGACAATGTTAGTAATTTAAACTTGCAATGCGCGCGCCGCTTCCGCACACCATCCGCTCGCTCTCGGAGGCAGAGAAATGACTCGGAGGCGGGAGGAGCAGGAACCACAGACAAGTGGGAAAGCAGCAGCTGCACGACGAGCAGGCGCGAGTAATTGCCCAAGCTCTGCCGTCCTATATATATTAAGGTGTTAGCAACCAATTAATGAGTATTTACGTGTGCGAGGAAACTGGAGCACCGGGAGAAAACCTAAGTGTGTGAGGGGGAACCACCCCTATCCCATACAGATAGAACAGGTGGAGTCCACATTATTTGCTGCTTCTGCCTTCTCCTGGGAAGATAGTCGACTTCATATGGCTCCTCGACGCCCCACGGGAAGGGAGTTTCACAACATTTGTGTGATGCACCAACCCTCACCTCCACCACCGTCCAGTTTTCCAAAAATACAAATGTATACAATGGCATTGTTTGCTGTAGACTTTGTTGACCAGGATAAAATTGTGAAGTTTAAGGTGCTAAAACTAAACTTTTTATTTAACCAGGTAAGGCCCACTGAGCTATAAAGCTCTTTTTCAGAAGCGACCTGGCCACAAATGATAGCTTAACGAAGTGTCTTATCACGTGGAAATGTATAGCAGACAAATACTCTAAAGGCGACCACGGGGAAAACTTACAAACTCCAAATGTACAGGCGTCAGGGTTGGGATCGAACCCATAACCCCCCAGTATACCAGGCGAGGGATTTAACATCTCGCAACCGTTTCAGAAATGGGAGCTCAACATTCGAACTCAAAATGTCCGTGTTACTGGCTCTGACATGGCAATTAGCCCCCACCCCCTCTCACACACGCAGCCACTCCACACCACTTGTGCGTGGATGTGAAAACCATCAGTGGCCCCAATACGCACGGCCAATTTAAAAAAAGAAAACTTGGCATTGAGTGTCATGAGAGGAAAAATTTGTGTGTTTATGCAGAGCTCTCAGAGGTCCGAGCAAAATGGCCCTCGCCTGAATAAGCGCACTGAGTTTAATAATCCGTGCAATGAATAATCGCAGTAGATTGTCCAAACAGGTCGTGAATTAACCGATGAATTGTGCCAATTGGTAAAGGCGTTTTACGGTAGTTAACATCACGGTGGAGAGATGTTAACTACCTCGCCTGGTATACAGGATGTCGTGGGTTCGATCCCCGATCGTGGCCGTCGACTCCAGGGTCCTTTGCAAATAGAATGCGAGTGGGGTCACGGTGAGGGGGTCAGGCCCGTGGTTGGGGGGGGGTCAGTTTCCAGGAGATCGGGGATCAGCGTTCCGGTTATCTTGCCGCCGCCGCCGAGGCCGCCGAGGCTGGGTTACGGCGGCTCCTCCTTTCATCGCGGCGGGGAAAACTAATTTGCGCCATCTGCTCGGACACCTGTAGGGAGCTGCGTCGCAGCCGGGGCTACTGCTGCCGCTCGTTAGCCGTCAGCGAAGGTGGCGATCGGTCCCTCGCGCGCTCACGCGCCGCTGCTGGCGGGAAGGGGGTCTCAACCACGGTGAGCTCTAAAACGAGCGTCGCCCACAGAGGGTATGTTAGGCCCGCTCGTCGACGTTTCTCCGCAAACCGTGACGCCGACGCCGCCGCCGCCCTCCGTGCAACGCTGCGTGCCCCTGGGCTTGGGAATCGACGAGGCCACGTTTTGAATTCAGATGGAATTTAAAGCCAAGCCACGATGCCACGCATCGCAGCTCGCCCCGCCCGCACGCTCTGGCGCTTGTCGACGGCGCTTATTGAGCGCCGTACAAAACAACTCTGCTGATGTGGAGCCAGCAACCACCCCCCCCCCCCCCCCCAGGAAGCCAACCAGCCTCTAATCGGAAGTTGGTGAAGGTTTAATCTCGTTTGGTGACCACGAGCGTGGTGCGGGGTGCAACCGTTGCATATGAAGTCAGGCGGTCATCGTTTTACCAATTTGACAACGATGATGATGATGATGATTGTTGTGGACTCTGACTGGAGTTTAAATCCTCGGGAGCCTTGAGTTTTATTTATTTAACCGGGAGATTAAATCAGCCCATTTAGGACACGGTTACAACTGTGCCTGAGCAGTTGTTAAGCGTTATATTTCACCTTGAATTTATACTTAAAAGAGTAGACATTAGCCAGCTAGACCAGGATAGCTAACGATCCAATACAATGCTTGTGTCGGTTTATATCATAGACAAAGATCCCCCTATAGCCTCAACAGATTGTTGGGGAAAGTGCTGTGAGTGAGCAAGCAGCTATGGAATCTGGAACGGCACACGTGGAGGTGGGTGGCTAGCACCATGTCCGGCCGCCTTTGTCTCCCTAGTGGCGATGTTTACACACCGCACCAGGTACTCATTTGAGGCTGAGTCGACCTAGGAGAGCCCTGGGACCGGTTCCGATAATCGTCATTGGTGTTGGTGGCCGTGAGCTGGAATCTAACTCGAGTTCCCGGGTTCGCAGCGCAGCACGCTAAACGCTACACGATATCGATCAAAGCGCCATTTACAATGTATATATATTAAGCGCAATGTCACATTGCTGCATGAGCAGGTTATGTCTTGTGCTCTTTATGCCCGTTTAGTGTCATTATGCCTATGCAGTATTAACCTCTCCAACATTTAAAGCGTTCAAAATAATAACAATTGCTGTACGTGCCAATATCCCGGCCTTCAAAAATGCAACATTTTAATTTGTTGTGGTTGTTGTTCCTGTTGCAGGAATAATTTTCGAGGAGAGGCGCGGTGACAAGAAATGGAAATAAAGAAGAATCATGCTGCCCTACAATCAAAAGCACTTTCAACCTTCGGACAATGACTTTGGGACGCTCGAGCAGAATTTATTATAAGAATTATTATTATTATTATAATACGCAGTGTTAAACGGCAACCGTGGAGCCAGCTTGTCGGGCCCGTGGCGGGCCTAGCGGAGGGCGGGGGACCGCTGCGGCCTGGATTCCTGTCGCGTCCCTCGCGGCTCGCGGTGGGCCGGGGTGGTGGTGGTGGGGGGGGGATTCCGACGGACGCCGCGAACGCGGTGTGGCCGGTCCCCGTGCCACCACCGACGAAGCTGGGACGCACGAACAAAGTTGCAAGGCGTCACGTAAACCAACCTTGTTTTGTTTTTAACGTGATTTCACGTGTTCGACAGAAGGTGCACAGTTTGCGGTAAAATAGTGTGAGCGTACGTTGGCTTAAATTCTTTTGGGGGGGGGGCGGGATTTTTTTTTGTTCAACAACAACAACGACGATGACGACGACGATGACGACGACAAAAGAAGAATGAAGACGATGTCAACGGGCCATCGGGAGAGTTGGCGGCACCTTGAGAGCGACGCGTGCGTCGTGCCTCTGTGGGGCGCTTCGCGGCCGGTCGGGTTTAAATAAGTAACGTTTTACTGCAGTCATGCCAATATAATGTGAATATGATTGGGACGTTTTATAGCCTATTTTTACGTAAAGTATCAAATAAATTAAATTGCTTCTCACCTGTGGCTGCGCGCGTGGCTGTGTAAGCACGCGACACGGTGAATTGACGCACCGTGCCTGGGCCGACATCCTAAGCAGCGTGGGTTCAACTCCCAGCCGTTCGCTTCGATGAAGTGTGCAGCACCTGAACCTGTCCCGGGCCTCTCCTGGGCCTCTCCTGGGTCGTCTCGCGCCTTAAATCGTTGCGGCGCGTGAACGTCGGCACCGAGGAGACAAAGGTGGCTGGCCGCTGAACGGCGGTGCGGGCCACACCACAGCACGCGGTCGGGGTGGCTCAGGCCACACCACAGCACGCGGTCGGGGTGGCTCAGGCCACACCAACCCGATCACGTGCCATCTTGGCTTTGGTGAATCGTTGGCCAACAGCGCTTGCTAGAAGATTACGTATCCACTCAACAATAGCGCGTGTGTGCGCGTGCGTGCGCGTGTTTATACGTGTATAAATATAAGCGTACATTGTACATGCGTTTATTGATACATGTGCATTACACATACATGCTGTACAAATGTACATCGAAGCAGTGTAGGTGTTTCGGCACTGCTGACAGTAATTATGTGTCTGCTGTTTGCAACGATGTATACACACACACGCTCCGCGGTCATATGACAAATGCTTCCGTCTTGTACATAGTGTAATATCTTAATCTGTGAAGTTTACAGTTTGAATAAATGTAATAATCAGTGTTGTCCATTAATAAAACCAAAAACAAAGCCTTTGCACTCATTCTTAAAATGCTGGTAAGTTATCTTTGATGGTTTTAAACAATGCAGATGCACGTACGTTGAACTTATTTCACACCGCACGTAGCCAACCGTGCTAATCGTCGGGGGTGCGGGGGAAGGACAACAAACTAAACACACAAAAACTGTTCTTTAGAAGTGAGTTTTCAATCCAGGTGTAAAGGTACATGGCTCCAGTGCTAATCGGGGAGGGTGGAGGGGGTTGGCGTGGAGAGGAGCGACCCGAGTTTGATCTCCAGCCAGGGCTAATATCAGCGGCGAGTTAAGATCTGAACCGCTGAGTGGACCAACGTGGTGAAGTATGGCCACACAAACAACCCTTGCGACCAACGAGGCATGGGCAGGAATTCATCCGGCAGTGGTTTTCGCAAGAGCTGCGGATAACGACGCTGTCATCAACGGTGGGACCATTCTCATTGAGGCGAATTTGCATCGAATCAGTTGAACTCTGGTGAAACTTGCGTGTCTTTTTAACCACTGCCCGTCCACAAACTTAAGGGACGTTTAACACCCTTGTTTGCGAGAGAATCGCATCTTGCACTTGGGCTACAAGAGCCCCCCCCACCCCCCCCCCCGTGTGTTGTGATCGATCACGTCATCAGTACTTTTACAGCTTTACAGCAGCTTAGAACAGTTTAGGGAAAATACCTGCAGAGATTCTCCTGCAGAAATCACCATGCAGCTGTGGCCAGGAGTCGACGAGGAGGCTCGTGAAGGACCCTCCTGGACAATTCGGAGGCAGTCGCCCTCCAATGGAGGGCAGAGAGAAGCGGCGCTCACAACAACGAGCGGAGCGCCTTGCGACTAAAACGCAGCAAGTCGGCAGGGTGGGGGGGGGGGCACCAGTGGTGCATCTGGCAGTCATCTAAGTGCACCAGGCCTGGCGTGGGGCGCCGTGGGGACGTCACCGCCACTTGGTGACGAGGTGTCGGTTTTGGTGTTCGGAGCCGAACCTTTGACTTCAACTCCGACTGGCTCGGCTGGGGGGGGGGGGGGGGGCTGGGGGGGTCATCACGCGCACCGCCGAGCTGCCCGCTCGCCGAACCTCATTAATGGACTCCCAACGTGGGCGCGGCGTGCAAGCTCCGGATCTCGTGCCCCCATAATCCGCCTCAGCTTTCCAGGTCAACAGACATACGCAATGCGTGTCATCCGATTTTACTCGCGGAGAGAGAAGCCCGGCCGACTCGTAAACGTGGAGTAGAGTGGAACCAACGGAGCGGCGTTGATATGTAAAAAAAGAGTCCAAAGAGTTGCTTAAAAGTCAACCTCCGCTCAGTGGGAGGTCGCTCTTTCTCTGCTTGTCATGTGCCCTGCTCATGCCCTCCCCCAGTCCAAGACTTTTCACTCCTCCCTCTGCCCGTGACTGGCTCTCTCTTCTCATCTCTCTCTCTGAAGTGTCTTCATGATCACTTTCAAACACCACCACCATCATCATCTTTGTAGCCTGTACCCTTCTGTGTCTCACTCCCTTTCCAAAAAATTTCGATTTTTTTTTTCAAAGAACATCCCTCCAAGCTCCCGAGATGCACGTCGCTCCGAATGGTGCAGCATCTCGAGATGCAGTTGCATTCCAGCTCTTTGTGAACCTTGGTGATTGTTCATTGTATCTCACTTAAGAGCATGTTTCCCGCACCTCCCATTAGCACGGTTGGCTACGTGCAGGTGTGAACGAAGTTCAACATACGTGCTTGCACGTTCTGAGAAAATAGTTTAATATTGTAATGAAACTCAACGTATTCGTCAATAACACTGGCCTTAAAATAAATGCATATAATGTTACATTTTCGGCAATAGCACATACAACCATATTATGTGCAACGAATACGGCCTACTGCCACAAACGTCGCCTGTTATATGTTATTTTAAGGCCACAGTGTTGTTGACGAATCTGTTGAGTACTTCTGGTAAAATTGTGCTTATACACCAACTAACAACGTAGCAGCGTCACCAAATATATACAGGGATTCATTTACTTACGAGCATTCGACTTACGAACTGTTAGAGATACGAACAAACCTGTCCGTATGTCCAGTTGAGTGTTCAGACCGGGAGTCGTAAGTTCAACCGCCGCGCAATAGATGGCGGTGGTGACATCTACATCTTCAAAACGTAAAGAACTAGTGGCATCTACATCTACAGGAGATTGTACAACTTGTAAAGCCATTCCACGTGTTTATTGTACATGCCGTACAACATGATTAAAATTGACAAGAGTAAAGTTGGACTTAGACCTTTGGAACCTAACTCGTCCGTAAGTAGAGTAGTCCTTGTATATGTGTAGTGGATTAACACGCGCATACAGGGGGGGGATTGGTAAAGACGCGCGAGTTATGGACAGTTGGGGTTACGTCGGGCTGGCCAGGGTGTGGCGGCGGGAAACTGTGCAGTAATGACGGGCCAATGAAGTTGGAGAGCGATGTACGGCTGTGATTGGCTGGGGTTGTTGTCAAGGGCGAGGTGGCGCCGGAAGGTCTGGGAATAGAGGGGGGCAAGTAACAGGTGCGGGGGGGGGGACGCGGGGCGTCGGGGGCACGCGGCCTAATGAATTGGCTGGTAATGAGAACGGGGATATATTGGGGAGACGGGAAGAACGAGTGGAGTTGTTGTCGCTGGGACTGGAACGCATTAGGTCGGGGAGACCCGGAGTGAAGACATCGGAGACCGAACAGGCGAGCAGTAGAGCAGAGATGTGTGACGTGTGGGGGGGGGGGGGGGGGGGGGTTGAGAAATGTGACGTCACATCAAAATGCGCAAATTTAAATAAATATAGACAACACGCTCTACTTAATCAAATAGACTTTTTAATAAATGTTTTCTCCTACAGCATCAGAGTGCAGCGCCACATTAAATACGCACTACAATGACAATAATTTAAAGCGATTTGAATAATGTTTTATTTTCAAAATGGAAATGTTTTTTTTGGGGGGGGGCAGAGCTTTGTGACGTCATATTTGAGGGGGGGGTCTGACCTTTTGTGACGCCGTGTGACGAGGGGGGGGTCAAAATCGTCAAAATCGCGTGACGTCATTTATGGACGGCCCCGTACGCGGTGAATGAATCAACGCTAATTAGTGACGAAACATGTATGTGGCTCAAATTAATATTGAGGGAGTTGCTCACCTCTCCATTGATAGCCATGTGCTTGTGGTAACACATTTGCGATCAGCAACTGGATTCATCCATTTTCCCGGTCATTTCTGTTGCGAATTACCAAATTATGTCATTCGCCATCTGTTTTAAAGAGGACGATAACGGCCCTGTGATATCATGGGTGCGTGGGGGCTAGTCGCTTGATATATAAATCCATTGCTGGGTTCACACAACGTGGTACTCATTTTATTGACCAAGGAGTTATGATGATAATAATGATGATGGTAATATCGACAGCTTCCACAGTGCCATAACATGGCAAACCATTGCAAGGGGCGAGGAGCTGATCTTGAACATCGCTCAGAATCTAACGGTCCAGTCGTGAGTTAAGACCTTCGATAACCACAGCCATACACAGCAGGCATTCGTCTCTTTCAGAAAAAAACGTCCAACTTCGAGAAAACAAAATAGCTGATAAAGTGAATCAGCAATTCGATATGTGGCGTAATATGCACATCATTTCTGTGTTATTGAAACAGATTTAACTAAAAATCCCCTCTCTAGGGGCATGGTTAAGATCTAGTTTATAAGAGAGTGAAGTTATGAATCACGCACATTCCATGCATGCACCGTAAAGTTTCCTGATTTAAATCTGCATAAAATGTTTATGTACTTTTATTGTAGCTTTATTGTAATGCAAATACTTTCCACATGGGATGCACCCCGATGTAAAATGCCACCGCTTGTGAGATTAGCATCGCCAGTTCCGTCACTACCAGCACTGCTAATACCACCACGACCGCCACTACAATCACCACTACCAGCACCGCTAATGCCACCAATCACCACCGCCACTACAATCACCACTACCAACAACGCGAATGCCACCATCACCACCACCACCACTACAATCACCACTAGCAACAACGCTAATGCCACCATCACCACCGCCACTAAAATCACCACTACCAACAACGCTAATGCCACAATCACCACAGCCACTAAAATCACCACTACCAACAACGCTAATACCACCATCACCACCGCCACTACAATCACCACGACCAACAACGCTAATGCCACCAATCACCACCGCCACTACAATCACCACTACCAACAATGCTAATGCCACAATCACCACCGCCACTAAAATCACCACTACCAACAACGCTAATGCCACAATCACCACAGCCACTACAATCACCACTACCAACAACGCTAATGCCACCATCACCACCGCCACTAAAATCACCACTACCAACAATGCCAATGCCACAATCACCACCGCCACTACAATCACCACTACCAACAACGCTAATGCCACCATCACCACCGCCACTACAATCACCACTACCAACAACGCTAATGCCACCATCACCACCGCCACTACAATCACCACTACCAACAACGCTATTGCCACCAATCACCACCGCCGCTGGGGTGACGTCACGAGACGAAGATTCCTTTCGGATCTCTCACAGCGTAGCGCAATCCGTCGTGCTCGAGAAAGGCGCACGGCAGGCGACACCACCATCGAGGTCCCCTCTGGACACCCCTCCAAGCGACCTCTGATCTAACCCAGTGTTACTAAGCGGCACTTTCCCACCCACCAACCTACCCACGAACCCACCCACGAACCCACCCACCCATTTTCCCACCCACCCATTATTCCACCCACCCATTTTCCCACCCACCAACCTACCCATGAACCCACCCACTTTCCCACCCACCAACCCACCAACCTACCCACGAACCCACCCATCCACTTTCCCACCCACCAACCTACCCACGAGCCCACCCACCCACTTTCCCACCCACAAACCTACCCACGAACCCACCCACGTGAGAGCGACGTCCAGGTTGGCAAGGACGGAGGACCCCACGTG